CTGGGCCTCTGCGTTTCTCCTGGTAGGAGGGCCACCGGGAGATAGATACACCTTGACCTGCTCAGCCACTGAGATTTGGGGCCGTCTGTTACAGTTAGTGAGTACAATATAAAACTGTAACTAACACAGTACTTTATACAAAAGTGAATAGTCCCTATCGAAACAAAAGAATTTCTGAAGCTGGGAAGGGGAAACTACTCACAAAACCAAGCAAGAGTGCACAGGCATCGTCTGAAATAAGCAGGACACTCACAGAAAAGAGGAGGACGCGTCTGTCCCCCAAAGTCCTAGAGCACAGAGCGGAAATTGAAAACACGTCTTAGAGGTGCTCAGTCCCCCCTGACCGGAAGCTTTTTTAAAAAAGGCAGTGACTTTTAACAAAATAAATTTTTTTAAAAAAGGCTCAGATTATAATTAAAATATTATTATCAAAAAAAAATGCAGTGACTAAAAGGGTCTCTCTTTTTTTTTTGGCATGTCAGGAGCAAAGGCAGACCTCTCTCCTGTATCTTCAACCGTTGATCAGTGACTGGGTTGAGGGTGCTGGGGGAGTGCTTAGCACACCTGTGATTGCACGGTTAATACACTAAAAACCAAGTCAGTCTTGCCTTTCTAGCAACAGAGTGGCCGCGATAATATGAAAACCCCCAATGGAGATAATTCAGGGAGTAGTATCACCCACAACTGTTTAAATGCATCCTGACTGATTAAGAGAACAGTGAACTGAATTATTTTGAAGTTACTAAAGAAAAGCAAAGTGGTCTCTTTTCCCATTTTACTTTAATAAATCCATTTGACTCAGTTCTAGAAGGGACATAAAGTCTACTCTTGAAAGAAAACCATACGTAAAATTAGTAACGCTCCAAGCTATCCTGTATTAGATTTATGAGAACTTTCCTGACATACGGTTTTGGCTCCCCTTGGAAATGGGGGGGACCAGGGCCAGCAAAACGTATTTAACAAAGAGACGTTATCCTCGTCGCCACCACAAACTCATGGAAACCGGCTGGAGTAGTAGTGGGGCTTGGCATCACGTCCGCTTCTGCCGGCGATCAGAGCGCTGCCGCTTGATGAAACAGAACCTCACTCACTTTGCTAATCTGCATTTGCAAGAACTCCCATAAAACAAGCAGTCTCACCCCATGTCTCCACAGGTATCTGTGGCTGAGGGCAGTGGCAAGGTCTCAAATCGTGAAGACTTGGTTACTTTTCCAGAGGACCCGGCCCCCAGCGCACTGCAGGACACAATGCAGTGCCAGCCACCACTCAGTGGGTGGACTTTGTATTTATTCGCCTAGCACCTTTCTCCCAGGCTCTTCAGAAGCCTCATTAATCTCACACCTTGGGAGGAGGCTCCTGGCAAGTGATGGAGCCCCCTGTCGAGAAGGGCTGCCTGTTCAAGGCTTGGGGGTGTTGGCAATACTGCCGAGGGTGTTGTCCTCCGTATCCCAACTGTAAGGTGACTGCTAGTTAAATGAGCTCATGAGTACCAAGCAATTAGAACTGGGCTGGTGAAGGCGAGCAGAGCATGCCACCCCAAAACATGGCTCTTAGGGATAAGTATGATTTTGAGCTGATTAAGAAATAGCACAGGGCTTCCCTGGTGGCGCAGTGGTTGAGAGTCCACCTGCCCACGCGGGGGACACGGGTTCGTGCCCTGGTCCGGGTAGATCCCACATGCCGCAGAGCGGCTGGGCCCGTGAGCCGTGGACGCTGGGCCTGCGCATCCGGAGCCTGTGCTCCGCAACGGGAGGCCCGCGTACCGCAAAAAAAAAAAGAAAAAAAAAGAAACAGCACACAAGGAAAAGCCGTATACCAAGAAGTCACCCTTGTTAGGAACATTTACATTTATAAGGAAAATCTCCACTTGTAAGTGTCTCTCTCTCTGTACCAGGAAGAAAAGGATGACTAAATTATAGGAGAATCTTAACATCTGCATGACCGTCTTCCTTCCACTGGTGCATTTCCTGGTTCCCTCCCATGATGGGGGCCGCCCCTTCTCCCTGGCATTTTTCATCTTTAGTATTTAAGGTGGTGGTTGGGAGGGACTCATTTTTCTTGAGTATCTCCCAGGTATACAGGAGATATACATGTTATTAAACTTCTGTTTTTCTCTTGTTAATCTGTCCTTTATCTTAAGGGGGATCTCAGCTAAGAACCTAAAAGGGTAAAGGGAAAGTTCTCCTTCTTCCCCTATACCCCCACGCATTGTAACGCTCAGCAAATGTTAGTTACAGTTTCCGCTGTGATGCTGCTGCCGAAGCTGGCTGACAGTCCAACCTGCACCCCCAGTACCTGCTGGAGACAGCTCAGCGGCGGAGGGAAGTTGTGGGCCGCACATGCTACGGAGGAAGGGAGAGGCAGTAAGAGGCTCTGGAGAAACTCAGGAGCTATTTATTGAGTATTCTGAACCAGGCACTGCGCATCAATGGGACCTAGCCCTGGAAGCAAGACGAACAGGCGGACAGGTGGAGGCTATGGGGATGCACAGGAGCGTCCCCGGTTCAGACAGCAATAACGAGAAAACACAAAAGAAAAAGAAGAGAGTCATGGAGGAGGGTTTTATTGTTTTCAATTGCAGATTTAAGCACAAGCTCTTGTTATCCAACTTAAGCCCTTAATGAAAGTTTTCCCAGTGTTTTTAAGGCTGTTATTTTGATTTATGAACTGGGCTCTCGGCTGTACTTGATGATTACCCTTTATTATAGTGGTTGCCTTTTTTTTTTTTTTTTTTTTTTTAGTGGGTAGGTATAACTACAAGAGACAGCATAATGGACTTCTTTGTGTTGACAGAATAATTCAGTAGCTTGATTGTAATGGTGCTTATATGAATCTACAGACATGATAAAATGGCTTAGAACTATACACACACATTGTTTTTTTTTTTTTTTTTTTTTAACATCTAATCTGCAGAACTGTCTAACCTCTGATCATACCGGAGTAAACAAGGCCACCCAGAACTTTCTGCCAAAACAGCCTTCCACACAGGGGCCTCTGTACCACAAGGAGAAAAAGCACCTGAGCGGGACTACCTGGGAGGCAATATACCACAAGGGACGAAAGGTCTCTTTCTAACCTGCACCCCTGGCCAAGTGTGACCGGCCTTGGGAAATGCAGGATGACAGTGACAGCTTCCTTAGCAGCTCCTGCTGGAAGGGGGTCTCAAAGGCTTAAGGGACCCGCCCTGAAGTCACTTGAGGAGTTTACCTGTGGGACTAACTGTCCCTGGGCTCCAATCCTGATGGATGGCGACAGGAACAGCACAAAGGCAGCCCTGCCCTGCTACTTTCTCAGGGACCATCTGGTCCGAACCTCCCATTTCATGGATTAGGAAAACTGAACCCTAGAGAAGTGACAGGCCTCAAAACTTAAAACCCAAGTGCACTGCTACAGCAGCACAAATACACTGGCTCCCCTCTCCTTGGGCATAAATAAGATGTTTAACTTGTAACTCACACAGCCTAGCTGTTTACAATTCAAAGAAAATCAGAGTCCTTCATGAAGTTTCTCCCAGGGAGTTAATAAAGACAGTTTATACCTCTGATCTTAAAACTCTCCATATGGCTCTCTCTATATGCAATTTCATTACTGCTACTTTGCTTTGGTATCGTTCCAACACATACATCTAATGCCACTCATTGCCCGGGGACAGGGGAGCCCTGTGCAGACTGCTGCTGCATGGTCCATGGCCACGAGTGTAAATGAAGGTGTTCCCTCCTGCCGTGCTGCCCAGGTCATCAGGCAGGAATGATGGACATGAACCCGCAGCGGCAGGAATTAAACGTCAGAGTTATGATTAAAGGAAATGCCTTTGAAGCTCTTTTCTAATTTTAAACTAATTCAACACAGAGACCCCCAAAGTCCATTTTCCATTACAGTGGAACTATTTTCTAAAATCCGATGCTCTTACATCCCCACGCATCGGTTAGCCATCTTTCTTTCCTAGTGCCAGTCAGTCTTCTTGTTGTTCAGAGCTTGCTTCACTAGTGAAAAGCATTCCCTACTCTGGAATGCAACATATGTAAAGAACTTCTCTATTCACCGTGTTGAGGCAGAAAATTAGTGCCCTATAGTGGGGGGCGGCAGACAGAATTTAGGGGAATCTTTCCTCTAACAAGAAGATGGCACAAATGTTCCATAAAAAGCAGCCATGTTTGGCTAAGACTTCTGTTATTAGCAAACTGAGTTGATACTTTAACTAACGTGTGCAACTAAGACCCTAAAAACCCCACACACTTCAGTGACTCGTATCCTGGGACCCAATCACCTTTGATTCCCTCCCAGTGTCCTTCCATATGGATGGATCATCATTCCAAAGGAGAGGAGAAAAAGCAATCCACCAGTTTGGGCAGATTCGAAAGAGCAAACAGGAACTGGGCTCAGAAAGGGGAGGAGACGGTTTGAACATGAAGGTTGGTTAGAGACACATTTTCTAAGAAAGATGACTCTTTCCTGCATTTAACCTCCTTGGCTGGGAAGTTTAGGATGTGCAAAAGCAAAAAGTAAAAAACAAAACCACTTCTGAGGAAAAGCAGAATGCGACAGAAACTGGAGGGGGAAAAAGTCATATTGAGTGATTAATGATAAAAATGATTTCCGCTCCTTTGGTTCTTTTGTAATGCTGTCAGCCTACGATTTATCATCATGACGTTAAAAACACTGATTTGTCGTTGTTTCGGCTACTCGTTTTTCTAAAACATCTGTACATTCTAAGTAAGTATTCACCGCCCAAACTTCTGGGAGCAAGTTGTGCATCTGGGCTTGTTCAAGTCACTCTAATTTGCATGCAACTCACACAGGCTTGCGATGTTCCGGATAAAGAAACACGTCTCACCAGCGCGGGGCTGAGTTTAACTTAGACCCCACGAGCGGACACGTCCCAGGCTGGCCGGCTGTCTCCCCCGCCCGGCGCCCCACTCCGCGCTCCGCGCCCCGTGCCCGCGGGTTCGAGCCCGCCCTCCGGGCCCGCGAGAGGAGAGAAAGTGAGAACGAGTCAGTACCGGCGGGCGGGTGTCCAGCTTTCGTCTCTAGCTTCCCCTCGGGAGGCGAAGACATGGTGCGACCGGGTTTCAGAGGGACCTGGACGGCGGTCGTCGAAGTCTCTCGGGCCTGGAGAGAAGTGCGCGCGAGCGTGAGCGCCGGGAGCGAGGGAGGCGCGTGCGTGGGACGGCGGGGCCGCGCGCAGGAGGACCAACAGCGCACGCCTCGAGGGGGCGCGGCCGCCGCGCACCTACGTGGCGCGGCCCCGCCAGCCCGCGGCTGCGCGGTGGCGTCACTGCGCCCGCCCCGCCCCGCCCCGCCCCGCCCTGCCCTGCCCGCCGGCTCCCGCGCGCCCCGGGTACTGAGCATGCGCAATCGGCGGCGCCACGTTGGAAGCCTCGGCCGAGTGCGGAGGAGGTAGAAGGGGAGTGGGGGCGGGGTGTTGGCGGTTGGAAGGGGCGGGGGGTTGGCGGTTAGAAGAGGCAGGCGTTGGGGCCGGCGGGGGCAGTCGCCCGAGGTTGAAGAGTGCCCAGCAGGAGGGTGGCACCCCCGTGCACGGTGCTCCACCAACCCTCCAGATAGACGGTGACGGTGGTGGGGAAACAGCTTCAACAGTGGGGCGCCCAGGGGTGCTGTGTGCCGTCGGGGAACCGGACCGTCTGCCAGATGGCCTCACCCGGCTCAAGCTCGGAGCGACCGGTGAAGTGCGGAAATGAGACCCCAGGTGGGACCGACCGGGGGCCCAAGAATAGCGGGGATTTGTTAAAAGGTGCTGCAAATGGGAGAGCCTCCCCTCGCCCCCCGGGAGAGAAAGGCAGAGCTGTGAAGCCTGGAAACCTGGACAGAGGTCTTGCAAGGTTGCGTCTGTGTCCGCTGTCTCTGCCGTCTTCCTGTTGCGTTGGGTCTTGATTCTGTCCAAAGCTGACCTGTTGGCCTTGTGCCTCGGATTGCAACCTTCTCGCCTTCTCAAGCGCTGTGTAACTGCAGGTATCCTCTACTGACCATCAATCCCGCCTTGCTAAATTAGCGTTCAGACATGTCCAGTGTCTTTAGAAAAGGAAACACCACCGGCTCTCTTGGCTGTATGTCTCCCTTTGACAGCACAGCTGCTCAAAGAGCATCTCAACCCCACCACCCCCCACGCCGTCTCCTCAACCCAGTCCAGTCCATCTGGTTGCCATCAGCTCCCCAAAGGCTGCCGCCAGCCAGTAAAGTCCTTTTATCATGGTCACTCTTGACCTCCACACTGCCCAATCCAGTGTTCACTCTTCCGCTCTCATCCTGCTTGACCTAGCTGACCGTCCCCTTCCTCCTTAGCTTCAGAGTTGCCACATCGTGGCGCTGACATCCAGTGCTTGGGCTGGAGGCTTGGCCGCTAACTCTCAGTGGGGTTGGTTGGCTCCTCTTCTAGGTTTCTGAACACTTGAGTCTCTCAAGGCTCAACACCAGCCCTCTTCCGTGTCTAGACTTGGCTTCAGTGGTCACATGAGGCCCACTATCATCCATATGCTTATGGACCCCAAATCTGCAAACCCATTTCTCTATGCCTGCCTCTCCATTAAGCTCCAGACTCACATTCCGCTGCGCCCTTGACCTCCCTTACCCAGATGTCTAACTCAGCGCTGCCCAGCTCTTTGCATCAGGGCACACAGAGAAATGCACATACCCTACGTTGATCTGGGACTTTTCCCCCGACGTTTCAGTAACACTGCCAGCGGGACAGCTGTTGGCCAGGCAGCAGCCGTGATATAGTTGTCTTTGTCTTACATTCACATCAAAACTTGCAGACAGGTGTCAGCAGCTTAGAAGAAAATCTGAAATCAGTAGTGGAACACTCTTTTAGGAGATGCTCCATCACTAACACTATTCATAGAACAGAGTGAGGAAATCCACAGACACTGATGATTTGATTCTAAATAGAAAGAAGCTTTAAGGATACCTAACCAAACTAATTGTATGAATATTTTCTTCTTTATGTGTGTTCAAGAGTGCTATATGGTTAAAAACTCACGCCTTAAGTCTAAAAGAACCATTTCTAAGAAGTATGAAATAAAAATTCTAGGTTAGAAAACATTGTGTTATAGTTTAGTTGGCAGCGTTGTTTCCTCTTAGTGGTACCTAAAGTCATATGTTAAGAGTGATGGCATCTTCGATTCAATGACCTATGGTATTGCTAGGGAACCCTGGGGGTAAAGGAAGGAGCATGCTGAGGAAGGAATTAAGCTACGCAAGGAATTAAGCTACGCAAGCAAGGGCTCTGGAGGCTCCGGTCACCACTGGGCTGCACCAAGGCCTGAGAGGATCCATATCTTTGCCTGAGGCCTGTTCTGGGACCACACTGACCAAGACACTCTAGTGTTAACAGCCATGCCTAGTTTTACATGTGGAAGCAGAACTCCTGACTCACCCACCTACCCATAGATACCTTCCCATCTAGAGAAGAATCCAAACTGGAGTACCTGCCTAATGCATAGCGTTCCTACTGAAGAAAATAACGGTTGTTTAAGGAATTTAGCTTGCAAAAAACCACCCATATTTCCCAGCCTCCCTTACAGCTAGGGGTGGCCAAGAGGCAGTTCTGGCCATTGAAATGTAAGTGGAAGTTGACTGGGGTTTTCTGGGTAAGTTTCCGCATTCTTGATATGAGGACCACCCTTCCTCCTGGTGACTTCATTGTTCACACCGCCTTGAATTCAGACAGAAGGTGGAAGGCAGAACAGTCGTATTGCAACCACTAGGCAACCAAAGGCATGAAAGCCGTATGCTAAAGGTGGCGGAACAGGAAGACCAAAGGAAGCGGGACTTTGAGGTTCTGTGGTATCTCTGCAGGGCAGTGGACCCCGCCTCCAGACTGTTTTGTTGTGTGGAAAACAGACCCCTAGTAGGTGCAGTCCTTGTGGTTGGTGTCTTTACATGCAGCCAAATGCAACCCCTACCAGGCCCTGGGTGATGGGGGCCCTGCCTGCTTCTAGGAGCTCATCTCTCACAGCTCTTCTGGCCACACTGGCCTTTCTGATGCTCCTCAGATGTGACAAACCAACTCTTCCCTTTGGGCCTTAGCATCAGCTGTTCCCTCCACCTGGGACCGTCTCCCCCAGATTCGTGCATGGCTAATTCCTTGGCATTCTGGAATCAGCTTTTGAAAGGGCCTATTCCTGACCACAGATCTGAAGAAGGCAGTCCAGGCACTCGACTCTCATAACTTTGTCTTCATCGTCATCCATCAGTATCTCCCTGGGCATTACTGTCTTTATCCTCTGACTTGCACGGTCGACTGGCAGCCCACTGAGGAGAGAGATCTTGTCCATCTTTGCTCACTGTATATCCACCACCCAGAACCAGGGTGGGCACAGAAGAAGCATTCGATAGATATTATCCTGCATAATTCTGGAGCATAGATACATTTAATTTCTCACAACTGTTACATAAATGAAGAACAGCAAATGAGGTCTACACAGAGAATGAAAAATATACACAGTATGTATTATAGATAATTAATACAGATTGGCCACTAATACATTAATACAGGTGACTGCTAATCTTTTCTGATACTTACTTTCATAAGTATATTCGTGTGTGTGTGTGTCCAGCCCCACAAGTCCTAGTTGCTGAGGATATATGTCAGACACCACCCTTTGGAAGCTTTTTATGTGGACATGCACATTCCATAGATATTATTAGGATTCTGAGTGAATAATCTTATAAGCTCACTATAACTCTGGGAATAAGGCAGGTTGACCCATTTTTACCAAGAAAGACAAAAGCAAACAGACAGAAAGGAGAAGAAAGGATGGTTGAACTTATGTGGGACACAGCCCTGTTGAGTGCATACTGGAACCAGAAGGCAGGTCTTTAAGCCCCAATCCCATTTTCTCCCCACCATTGGCTGCCTTCTAAAGTAGAGTTTTGGGAGCCGTTTCCCCTTCTTCTCTAAGCAGGCTCTTTTGTAATCCCAAGTGGTGCTGGAAAAAATGGCACTGAGTCTAAGACACTACTTAATGCAAATGCTGTAAACACTGGAGAAAGTATTCAAAGAAGAAACAGAAAATGCAGATTCTCTTCTCCATGTGTATATTTTGGAATCTTGACTATGTCACTGAAACATTCTGAGTCTCAGTTTCTTATCTGCAAGTTGGAGATGTGAACACTGACCTCCTGCAGGACTGGTGTGAGAATCCAGGACCTTCTCAATGCCGCCTGCAAGCCCCTATAGCTCAGCATTGTCCCATCTGCTCTCCGTAAGATCCTGAGACATGAGGGCTTCTCTGCCCTCCTTTACGGAGGAACCGAGCTTGTGAATGGCCAAGCACAGGGGTCGGTAGCTAATGTGGGGAAACCCGGGAGAGCCTGCTCTCACCACCATCCTGGTTGCACGTTTGGAAGTGCTTCGTAAACCATAATATACTACAGAATATGCTGTTATTATTGCAGATGGAGTTTTCGTTAGCATTCATGAAATACAAGAATTGTCCCACGGTGTATTAAAATAACCCCACCTATCAATCAGTTTGATGAACATTGCTTTCTTATTCCCAGCTGGCCCATATGTTCTGTCTCCTTGTGCTGTTGTCTGATGGATGAGAATTGTTATTCACTTCACAGGATTTGTCTTCCATTGTTGATATTGCTGGGAAGGGGAGGGCAGCAACCATTTTCAACTTTGCTTTGTAACATCCAGGATGTTTCTCATTGTATTATGGGGGTTTTAAATAATGTTTATTTAAATATAATTTCTTTGACACCCACAAGTACACATACAATACTTGAAGAAGATAGGCATGTCCCAAAATAAAAATGATGGACTACCGCTCTCTCTGTCTCTGTCTCTCTCTGTCTCTGTCTCTCATGTACACACACACACACACACACACACACACACACACACACAAACGGGGAATTTCCTTCAGGGTTTCATTGGGCTCGACCAAAATATTATATATATATGTACACACACACACACACACACACATATACATGTATACACACACACACAAACGGGGAATTTCCTTCAGGGTTTCATTGGGCTCCAACTTGTCAGTCAGTCACAGGGTAATTGAGAAACATTTTGAGGCATT